AATCAGGGCCTTCCCTTGCCAATGCATGAATATACTTCTCACCTGGAATAAAGTTATGTAAATTAATAGTACAACATAGTAAACTTCCAAATAAAACACCAAAGCTACCCAAATCTCGTCATAAAATGAACTTCACAAAAAAACTGAGGCACAAAAGAATTTCCTGCACAGATCAAGTTAGTATTGACAAGAGCGTTCAATACATTTTTATTGCGTAGAGAAAAAACAAGAACAGAGTTAGAAAATAATTCCACATTTTAAGATAACATCAAAATGATACCCTAGACATTAAGGTCTAAACCAGCTTAGCAATGAAATTCTTTTTCCAGGTCCTTTACAAATATATTACATGTATTATATTTTCTAAGAATGGAAGGGGAATAAAATTAGAAGAAATAAAATTATTTTACATTCTCCCTCAAATCTCCTTGCAAAAGCCCCAATCAGCTTTACAAATTTTTAAAAACTAAAATATTGATAAAATATTCTTAAATTAGTTACTCTAAGGAAAAAATAATGATAAAGCAATATAATTTATGACATTCCCTGACTTTGGAATTTTTTCCCATGCAATGGCTTAGTATTAACAATGTAATCAGACCATAATGTGTATTCACAAACTGATATGAAATTTAAAACATTAAGGATCCAATGAAATTTTGCTTCAAAAAAATGGGGGCAAGGTAGGAGTTACAGGTGAAAACAAGATTGGCCAATGGTTGCTAACTGCTGAGGATGAGCAATGAGTTGCTGGAACCTCTTCTTTCTTCATAGTTGTCCAAAAGCACAAAGTTTTAAAACATAGAAAATAAGCTCACTAAAATCAGGTACGGAGCAAATGAAAGTTATTACGCTGAAAATAACACAGAAGTAACTTAAATATGCAAATACATGTGAAGTCATTTATAACAATTTTCAACTTTCTTGCTACATTTTCACTTGATGAAAAATTCACTTGATTTTTAGACACTGAGAATTAAAAGACTTCCACAGCACCACACAAAAGAAAAACATAATAAATTCATATATAGAAGCTTTCAAGATAGAAAACAGACCGGAAAACCAAGTGAGTCTATGTGTCTGCAGGGTCAGAGTTAAACAGAGAAGTGTTGAGCCAGCGTACTGCCCTGTCCCTCCACGTCCCTGGTCACACAGCAATGAAGACCAAAGGCTAACCTCCCGTTATATGCTCCATGCTCCTAGTCTGGGTCACACTGTGATATCTACAATTCTTATGATTCTTTCTAGGAAGGCTTCCCTTAGAAGGAAAGCAACATTCAGTCATTTTCTTCTTATCCTTAAACCTAAAAATTCCTTCAACCAGCCCAAGCAGCCAGGCAGGCCTTTCTCTTCCCCTGCGGACACCTCCTGCAGGAGAGAAGTTCATTAAGTTTTATGATCTTCCCAAGTCAGTCCTGCTTATAAGCCTCACAAAGGCTACAAATCTGGCAAACCATCATTTATGCCATTAGGCATTACTAGTAAATGAATGCTATTTAGGGTTTGTGGTGGCAATAAATCAGAGTTTGGTTGGCAGCTATCAACATGGAGGATATTCACCTATCATTTACAAAGAAGACTGTGCTGAGTTTTTTTTTAGCTACACAATATATTTTTTTTTGCACGATGCTATCATTCCAATTGCATAATAAAATTTTAGATTTTCCTAAAAGAATCTTTTTTTCTTCAAATAGAACCATTTCCTTCATTTAAGCTCACAAGTAAGGGCCTTGGGAAGAAAGCAGATGAGTGGGATTGGAGTACTTCACAGAGGAAAACATTGCAATCAAGATGAAGTGTCTCAAAAAGAAGAAATACATCAAAAGAAATAAGCAGATCTCCTGGCTGCAGGATATTCAGTAAGAGATGGACTGCTAAATATAACTGAAAAAATTAGGAAAAAACTTTCACATTTTATGATTATTTCACTGGTTGGTTGCTTACTGAGTTTAAAATGAACAAGTATCTTGATTCTAAAGCCTATAACCTTGCAATTGCTTTCAAACTGTATAAATATCACCATTCAACAAGAGACATCTAAATTCTACAAAAGAATACATTTTCCAGGGAAAATAAAAGAAAATGTCTTACAGTAAACAATATATTTTCCTTACCTCTGAAGAACAAGAAAAGAATATGATTGAAGCAGATTACCCATTTATCTGTCAGAAGAGGAAACTTCTTCCCAGGTTTGGTAGGGGGAAAAAGATGTTTTCCAACCAAATCCCTCCTGTGCCTCACACTGACAGCACCGCCTGATCAGAGATCTCAAAACCAACAGGCAGGCCTTCACGAATACACAGAATTTTTTAAAGTGATTTTCGCCCCATTTTAGAAGGAAAGCACAAGTGAAGTGACATTACCCACTCTAGTGACAGGTCCCCCACCCCACCACTTCACCACTCAACCCCCCAATCTCCTTTATGCAGAATGAAGCCATCACATTATGTTTTGCTTGCTATTTTCAAATGACTAGGTAAACTTTCTCTAGATTGTGAAGAAGGAGTCTATGGATTCAATATTAACAAATTAAATGAAACCTTTACAGAAAGAAAGCATTCTACAATCCACATCTATTCCACAAGCCCTATCTCATAAGTTCGTGATGTTTGACTGTGGGCATGGTGGGGGAGGGGGTCTGGAATTCGCTGTCCACTTCCTTTGCTTTGGGAACACTCATGACTACACAGCTGTTTTATTTCTAACTGAGGACTCAGAATTCAGCCTCCCTGCTCCTTCGCACACTGCTTCCGTAGGGTGAGATGGAGCTTTGGGTAGGAAGAGGGGCAGGAGGGGAGGAAGCTTCACCCCATCAATCATTCACTACTTAAATCCCAACCCTCTCCAGCGGAGGGAGGCTGCCGGAAGGTGCCTCTGCCCAGACAGCCAGCCTCACTCTTTGTCGCCCGCTGGCTCTTTACAAAAGCGATAACGCCAAACTTGGATCTGCTGGCCACAGCACAAAAGGAGGATCTCACTGACAAGTTATCACTGAAAGCCCCAGAAACAATTTTCAAAACAGAAATTTCTTTTGTCTGTTTCTTAAATACCAGTAGCCCTACTGAAGCTCTCTCTGCCAGTTAACCTGGCACTCTGAAGAGCCTTTCTTTCTGGTAACTCACCTCCGACATGGGCTGGACTAGACTTTCCCTCCAGCCTGGTGCCTCTAACTTCGGTGCAAATCCGCAACTAGGGGACTTGGGCTTCCTAATTGAATTCTGCCTGCTGCTAAGTGTCTAAACATGAAACACAATTTGTTGGGTTTGGTTCTTGCGCTGGCTGAGCCAAAACTTTTAAAGGTGAGGGCGGGTTAGGTGCGGAGAGGGGGCAATGCAGCTCAGGAGATGAGGGGTGAGAAAGGAAGAGAATTAATCCTGCCCCTAGTAATCGAATGCCCAAGCAAAGTTCTATCCATCTTCATATTCATAGCACAGTCAATACCCCAGCGTTCAGCTGTCAGCACAAACTAACGTGGGGGTCTCACAGAGGGGGAAAAAAACCTCAGGGCACTAAACAACATCATTTACTGAGGATTTCAGAGTTTTAGATTTCTAAACTGAGAATCTTTAGAATTTAACATTGACTGTCTTATGTTACACTCAGCTAAAAATTATCTACTGTCTTAAATCACAACACTTTGTAAAGAGAAGTAAAAAAAAAAAAAATCAACACACAATCCAAGTTTGTAATGTCAAAATGCCTGGGGTTTTCAAATAAATTTTAAAAAAAATCACTCAGTATTAAGAAACCATATATTCTATGCAAATGAAAAGCAGGAAAATCGTCCCTCATATTTGCTGTTAATTATGGTTTAGCATATATATTTAATAGACAGTAAGAACCTATCATCTTTTCTTGATTACTTTTAGGATCAGAATGGTATTAGAGAGAGAAAAATCTGCTTAAAAGGGGGAGCAGTGCTTATGAGCCTAACAATTATATGCACTTTACAATTCTTTGTATGTTCAATTTAAACACTATCATATTTAACCTATACTCTGGGCTCTTAACTTTTTTCTTCTTCAACTTAAAAAAGGCACAACTTTAAAATACAATATATCCAACACACACACCCCAAAATATATAATCAACCATAAAGCCTGTATAATCCACTTGTTTCTCATATACAAAGATAATACCAGATACAAACTAAACATCTAAATTAAAAACTACTTTGGTTTGAGCCTTATCACCCCAAGACAAAAAATATTTTAAATCAAGAAAGTCTACCAAGAAAGTTATGCTGAAATTGACACAGATGTGTCCACTGTGTACCTGTGGTTTTCATGCCAACACTTGGGCAAGACCTGTCTCCCTTCCTAGCCCCTGCCTGGAACACTTCAGAATTGTTTAAGCGGCCATCTGTGGGCCTTCTACTTTCACACATTCAGCAATTGCTCACGCAAGGACTTGCAAGATGCAAAATTTCACACAAGGAGTAATAAATGGCTGATACACATTGTGGGTGCCTCCACACATCCCGAACCCTCCTCGATCCTGAAAAAGTAGCCTTCCCACCCCAAACAGTGATGCAGCCGAGCTCCCGAGGGCAGCCTGCTGTACTGCCCACCGCGGAGCTAAAAGCTGCCCAAGTCAAACAAAGTTCAGGCGCTGCTTCTCCGGGGGACTCCGGGACACTCGTCCGAGGCATCCAACCTCCCGCTGCTCCTTTTTCAAAACTGACACACAAACCAGGCCAGAGGAGAGAGAACAGAGGGCAGCTGGCGCTCGCTGGCTCGGGGACCCCTCCGGGCCCGGGGAAGGCGACCCGCCTGCCTCTGCACCTCCACTTCATTCTAAGCCGGAGTGGAATTGAGAAATCGACTCCAGATTTATGGCAGGGTTTTTTTTTTTTTTCCCTCAAGATCAGGAGGTGGGAAGGAGAGAATGATCAAAGATGGCGGTGCCCAAAAGCAGCCGCTCTCAACTGGAGAGTCGATGGAGTGTCTGCGACCCCACCTCGGGGGTCTCCAGGCCCGCTGCGGGGCGCGGCGACTTACCTGTTTTCTCTTTGATCTCACACAGGACGCTGAAGAGCGCGGGTTTCATTCTGTGACAGTTCAGAGCATGTTTCCTACAAAACAAATCGCAAAGCACAAAGGTATTAGCATCACCTATGGAATAATATGGCGCCTTCCTTGAAGTTAGACCCAAGATTTTAATCCACGGCCCGCGGATTTCGGAAGGCAAGTCGACAAAAACTCAAGTTCACTAGTTGGCGACAGCCGGCAAGGCTCCGGCGCCGAGAGCTCCGGCCGGGACGCAGCGCGACCCCCGCCGCCCGGCCCGCAGCAGCCTCGGCCCCCGCAGGCGCCCACCCGCGCGGGGAGCGGCGGCCACGACCCGGGGGCGGCGGCGGGGCCACGAGGGGCTCCCGCGATGGCCGCTGCGCGTGCGGCCGGCCCGGCTGCGGCCGGCGGGCGCCTGACAGCTCGGCAAACTTTGCAGGGCAGCCCTCCTCCCTCCCCGACAACTTGGCCGTCCGCACCGGGACCCCGGCGAGGGCACCGCCCCTCGCCCCCCGCACCCCGCTGGGGAAGCCGGAAAAGTTGCGCTTGCCCGGAGCGCGGCCCGCGACCCCGGCCCGGCCCGGCCGCAGCGCGCCGGGGGTCCGGACCCCAGCTTTAACCCGGAGGGGCCCGGAGGGGCAGCACGAAGCCCCCCGAGTCCGCCCTCGGCCCCGCCAGCAACTTTGCCCACTCCGGCCCGGGGTGGCGGGGCGCGGGCAGGTGGCCTCGCCACCGCCGTCCACCGCCGCCCCCCGCCTCGAGGCCCCCCGGCGCAGGCCGGTTTTCAGAGAAAGTTCCCGAGCGGAGGCTGAGGCCCCCCTGCCCCGGGCGCCACCCCGGGCCCCAACTCGGCTCCCGCGCGGACACACACACACACACACACACAAAAGATGCTTAATGAGACGACACCAACTTTGCTTGCGCCTCGTCCAAGCTCTGGTCGGTGATGGTCATGATCTGGTGGAGGATGTCGCCGATGTCCTGCTTCCTGCCGTCGCCGTCCGCCCCTTCGTGGCCGTGCGGGGGAGGCGGCAGGGCCATGCCCCCCTGCACCGAGTGGCCGGCCAGGTTCACCCCGGCCAGAGTCTGCAGCATCCTGGATTGATCGTCCATCCCGCCGCGCGCGGGCGGGAGCGGGCGGCGGCGGCGGCTGAGGCGAGAGCTGAGGCGGCGGCGGCGGCGGCGAGGGAGGAGAAGAAAGAGCGGGAGGGGGAGGGGGAGCGGCCGCGCGCTGCCCGCCCGCGCGGGGAGGGGGCGGCCCGGCCGGCGGGGCCCGCGGCCGAGGCGGTGCGGACCGGCGCCGGGCCCCGGCCGCCGCCGCCGCCGCCGCCTCCTGCTCCGCGGCCGAGGCTCAGCGAGCCGAGCGGCGGGCGGAAGCGCCGGGCTCGGCGGCGGTGGCGGAGGCGGAGGCTGCGGCGCCCGCTGCCCTCACGCGGCCGCCGCCGCCGCGCCGCCTCCTCCTCCTCACCGCCGCGCGTCCCGCCGGGCGGCCCCGCGCAACTTGCTCCTCGGCACCGGCCGAGTTGTCGGGACGCCCGGCGCCGAGGCCGCGCGCTCCCCGTCCGTCGGCGGCCGCCGCCGCCGCCGCCGCCGCCACCGCCTCGGCCGGGCGGGATCCGAGTCCCCGGCGGCCCCGGGGGGAGGGAGCGGCGGCAGCGGCCGCGGCGAAGGAGGCCGGCGGGCGGCGAGGGACTGAGGAGAGGGGCGGAAAGTTTGGGAGCGGGCGGGCCGGCGCGGCGGGGGAGGCGCGGAGCCCGGTGGAGGGCCCCGGCGGGCCGCGCGGCAGGCGGACAGCAGATTGATGGTGGGGCCGGAGAAGTCGCCGCCGCCACTGCCGGAGCCGCGCACCCAGCCGGCAAGCCGCCGCGGACCGGGATCCGAGGCCGCTCGGCTGAGGGATTGACAGGCTGCCAGTGCCACTCACTCACTGCGGGCCCCGGCGCCCGGGGGGAGGGGCGGGCGCGCGGGGGGCGGGGCAGCGCTCCCGAGGCCCCGCCCCCGGGGGCGGAGCGCGCGCTCGTTGGGCCCTGCGCCTCCCGCCGCCGCCGCCGGCTCCGCCCCCCGGAGGTGGGCCCGCCCCTACTCCGGCCTCTGCTGCCCGGCCCCGGGAGTGAGCGGTCGGGTCTTCACGCCTGGACTCGCTCCCCTCCCCCGGGACGGACGGCCCCGGGGCTGCAGACCGTTGCGTTGGCGTCCCGACCCCCCCAGCTGCCCCAGCGTCAGTAGTGTTGGTTTGCGAGGATGGTATGCGGGATAGGGGCTCCACTTGTTCCAAAGTCCCGTAGCTTCCAGGAGCTTCACGCCTCGGACAGCGCCTGGTACATTTTCCCGCTCTTTTCCTTCTGGAGGTGGTGCTCTCTGGGGACTGCCAGTCCCGGGCCAATCGCCTAGCGCTGGGAGCCGACGAGGGCGGGACAGGAGCCCGAAAGGGCCTTCCCAATTGGAGCATTCGAAAGCGCCTGGGCAGTAGGGGATTAGCGGCCGCCGGCCCCGCCCCTCCGCGGTCGCCATAGGAACCGGGAGGGCGCTGTGGCGAGCGGCCTGGTGCTGCCCCTCAAGGGGTGCCCAGTTCAGATGGGGTCCGTGGACTCGCATGTTTGCAGCCTGTACACTTTTGCGTGAAAGGGGCTCATGAAGAAGGGTTTCCCAGGGAAGTAGGGTCGTGTGGCAGGAACGAGCTCCAAGTCCAGGACTGATTTCAAGGTTTGCCCACTTGATTCACTAATGCAATCGCTGGTCATTCAGAGACACAGCAGAGCAGCAGACATAGCTCCTCATTATGCAGTTGTCCGTGTTTTGAAATAGAGCGGATGCCGCTTGCCTGTCTGCAGCATCACCAAGAGTGTTGACCTTGGTCACTCCAGCCACAGATTGTCTGACCTAGAACACTCCCGTTGTCCACTGGCGGCCGCCTTGTCGGGGAGCCTGGACTTCCACCTGCTACGGAGGCGAGCTGGCCTCAGAGCTGGCAAGCTGAATCCTCCAGCAGGGGCTCCCGTGTTTCCTCTGCCTTAGGATCCCGGAGCTCGCCCTGGTTGAATCCCTTGGTTAGAGGCCTCTGAAGAATCTCCCACTTCCTTCTCCGGTCTCAAAAAGCTGTCTCACCTGAAACCCAAAATAGGGGTGTGAGGATATGAAAAATGGCTCTCCCTCGGCGGGGTTTAATGTAGGACAAGCCGTTTTCTAAATGCCAGATGGATTCTTGGAACGGAGCAGGCTACTCGGTTCCAGGTTCTTTGCTTCCTAAGTTGTGTGTACTTTTAGATACTCCTCACTGCAAGGCTAATCGCTAAGCTTACAGTCAGGGAAGCTAAAACCGTTCGCAACCGCACAGCTGCTGAGGAACGCCTGTTCCGGGCAACCCACTCCCAAGATCCTCCTTCATGCTCATTAACATTCCTTGCTCTTCTATACCTCATGCGGTGTCACATTCCAGAGTCCTCTTCAAGCCCCCAAGATGGGTGACTCCAGTCACCACAGGTTCCTGACTTGCTGTTCAAAGCTGTCACCACATCCTGATGCATTTTTGCATAAAGGAACCAGGGCGGGCAGACAGCCCTGCGTAGTTCTCCCCCTTGGAAGAGGCGAAAGCCAGGGCCTTCGGTCTGCAACATCCCGAAGAGCTCAAGATTCCTTCCAGCTGGAGAATGCCATGATCCTGTGATTCGCCGTCAGGCCTCCTCCCTGCCCTCCTTCTAGGCTCATCATCTCCACTAATCAGTCATGTGCATGAGGCTAATTAGCAATAGGGATTTATGGTGAATTCTAGCCCCCTCTGAACAATGAGTTATGTAAGCAAAACAACATATATAAAAATGTAAATAAAATTAAAGAAACACTTAAGCAAATAAAGGCAATTGGGAACTATGGGCTATGTAAACAAACTGGAACATAAAAACATAAATTAGAATTAAGAAAACAGTTAAGCAAATGCCAGCAATTAGGAATAAAACAACTTGTGAAACGTCTAGCCCCCACGGCTCTTTCGTGGTGCACACCTTGACACCGACGGCCACTCAGCGGTGGGTGAACTTTCTATATTTTTTTTTAAAGATTTATTTTTACTATTTTTTCATTGGAAAGGTGGATATACAGAGAGGAGAGACAGAGGGGAAGATCTTCCGTCCGATGATTCACTCCCCAAGTGAGTGCAACGGGCCGATACTATGCCAATCCGAAGCCAGGAGCCTCTTCCGGGTCTCCCATGCGGGTGCAGGGTCCCAAGGCTTTGGGCTGTCCTCGACTGCTTTCCCGGGCCACAGGCAGGGAGCTGGAAGGGAAGCGGGGCTGCTGGGATTAGAACCGGCGCCCATATGGGATCCCGGGCGTGCAAGGTGAGGACCTTTAACCACTTGCGCCACCGCGCCGGGCCAGGTGGGTGAACTTTCTAGCATCATCCCGCGTAGCAGGCTTGCAACCCCCTGCTTGGGGGGCTCCGCCTTCTGTTCTAAATATGCTGTGCAGTAGGAGCCAGAGGATCCTAGCAAGGATTCCCATTGCCACTGACATAGAACAGCTCAAGGCCCCAGTGAACAGTGTGGACTAGTTGTACATGCTCCAAGATCTCCTCTGCTCCTACGAGTGTCTCCTGTCGGATGTCGCCTCGTCTCTACCCAGCAGGCTTGAGTCACGTGACTGCTGCCTTCACAGGGAACAGACTAGAACTTCCTTGTGTACCTGACTCCATCTTTGCATAGTGGTGACGTTCTTGTAAACTCAATAGCAACAAGGTGGTGAAACACCACCCAGGGCTACTGGGTCCACGTCACCTTCACTGCTGTCATCAAGGAGGTGGCTGTCACAGCGGGTGCCATTATCGGTCTCTCAGGTTGAGACACTAAGCTTTGTGTTCTTGGGCTTCATCTTCTCAATCTCCCGGAAGCCCTACATGGCTGGCATACTTTGAAATAAAAACCAGAATGAGATGGTGAAACGTACACAGAACCACCATGCCAATACTGAAACTGGAAATCCTTTATTTCTGTGTCTGCATGCAAAGACTACCTTACAAAACACTGCAGAAGTTGGCTGGTACAGGTAACAGACCAAAGCTGACCCTGTACTGGCTGGTGCACACAAGAATCAAATCTGAGGTCACCCTAGGCTTGGGCAACTTCCCGACTAGACCTCTGGACTCAGACCCTGGCCACAGGGAAATCGTCAGGCTGTGGGGTCTGACCTTGGAGGGCACGTGTTGGTGCTGGGCCTCCTCAGTTGCTGATAGGGATGCTCATGGGGACCTGACAGCCAGCCCATCTAGGCCAATAAGAGACAGCAGCTGCTTCATCAAAGGATGGGAAAAAAAAAAAAAAACAAGTTGAACAATTCTCCCAATCAAGCTTTGCAACAAGTTCTTGGGTCTGTAGATAAACTGAGGTGGGCTTTGTCAATAAACGTACCTTGTTCCCCAACCCTGGACAATGAAACCAACATCTTCTCAAAATTAGCTAAGCCACTCCAGCAATACCCTCAGAACACACTCCCCACATTGGGGTCCCTGAGGTGTCCTTAACTCTCTCATTCCTCGGAGCTAATATGCTTTGACAGGAAAGAGCAGCCCTACCTCTCCTTCCCTACAGACACATGAAGGGAAAGAATGGAACGTGTGTCCGACCTACCTTCTTCGGTTCCTGAACCTCCCACCCTCATCAGAGGCCCATATGGGCATGCATCTCTCTCAACTATATAAGCAATATTACAAAGAAAATTTAAGAATTTTTTTAATCACTGCAAACTAAAAAGGTTGGATGGAAGGGGTCATTTCATTAAATGCACTAAATAAACAGCTTAGGTGCTTCTAATACAATGCCATTGAAAGAATTCAGGGGCTCCCTGGCAGAGGAGGGAACTGAAGCCCAAGGACAGCCAGACCATCCCTCAAAGTCGCCTTGGACGCCAGGACCGCACACCTGCCTTGTCTCACCATCTCCACCTGCCCTTGGTCCACACTGCTTGGAATGCACGCAGTTGCCATCATCCTAGCTAGCCCTGTGTTGTCTGGTCTCAATTCATCGTCACCAGTTTTCTCATTTACTTCACAAGCATGTTAATAAATATACAGATACATACATATATACATATATTTGAAACTGTGACTTTAACAACATGACTGGTTCAGCTTTTTGATCTTTTTTTAGTCATTTGAAAAGCAAAGTGAGAGTGAGAGAAAGTGGGAGTGAAAGAGCAATAGAGACAGAAGCTTCCTAGCCACTGGTTCACTCC